CGGCCCATCTGAGGAATGGCTTGCCCTGGAGAAGACACTACCTCAACTAAACTTCGACACCTCAGCGGACCCCGCTACGCTCCAGAAGTTTGTCAATGCCGAAAGAGAAGGGAAAGCTGCCGAAGCAATGAAGCATTTCGCGCCGCACGTAACCACCAAAGACTATTCGATACCCACCCGGGACGGCTCAAAGATCGAGGCGCGGTCCTACCGGCCCGTGGACAAGGATGCATCAGAGAAACTTCCTGTATACCTATACTTTCACGGCGGAGGCTTCATCTTCGGTTCCATTAAGAGCGAGGATCCAACCTGCGCGCAGACTGCCATCAAAACCGGCTGCGTGGTGCTAAACGTTAACTACCGACACGCACCCGACCATGTATTTCCCACAGCCTGGCTTGACTCACAAGACGCTTTCGCTTGGCTCCACAAGAACATTGACGAGGTTGGAGGCGATCCATCAAGGGTCATTGTCGGTGGTGTCTCTGCAGGCGGCACACTATCATCCTCTCTCACGATAGAGCAGCATCTCGGAAAAAGCGATGTCACCAAAGACCTTCCGAAACTGATCGGCCAAGTCCTCATCATTCCCTGTCTCTCATCGCCCTACACATACGACGAAGGCCCCGCCAAGAAGCTCAAGGTGCCGTCGTATGTCGAGAATGCCAACGCGCCCCTTCTCAGCGCAAACGTCGCCAATTTCTTCGCGGGCCTCTTGCAAACAGGAAAACCTGATTTGAAGTGTACGAAGCTTAATGTAGGAAACGCCACGGAAGATGAAGTCAAGGGGATGCCACCAAGCGTCTTTGGTATTGCTGGTTTGGATCCTCTTCGTGATGAGGCGTTGCTGTATGCCAAGACGCTTTCAGAGGCGAATGTGCCTACTGATATCACGCTTTTCAAGGGCGTACCGCATGGCCATAGGCGATTTGGAAATGCTCTAAAGGCTTCTGAGCACTGGGATCAGTGCATCAACAATGGTATCCTGTGGATCCTATCGAAGCCAGAGGCCACTGGCAAGTTTACCGTCAAGGTACCATAAATGTAGAAGGGATATAAAACAATGAAACATAGTTTTTGATACTACGTACCGCATTCAAAATGAGAAACCTCAATGCCTCTTCACAAACTCCAACACAGCATCCACAAACCCCTCCGGATTTTCTTCAGCGATATAATGCGCTGCCCCTTCCACACTCACCACCTCAGCACCCTCATGACACTCCCTCGCCATCTCCTCCGCCCCACCCAAAAGCATGCACTCCTTCCCCATCAACACCAACGACGGCACTTTCACCTTCCCCTTTTCAACAATCCACCCCCGATTCTCCTCCGCGTCCCTCTCAAACGCCCGGTAAACCTCCAACCCCGCTCTCACAGCCCCCGGCTGCTCATACGCCAAGACATAGTTATCGACATCCGCCGGCGTAATCGCCGCGCTATTGTACAATAACTTGTCAAAGAAATGCTTCAGGTACTCGCGTTCTTTACCCACAATCAGAAACTCGGGTAAATCGGGTACGCGGTGGAATACGAAGTGGAAGAGGTCTGGTGTTGCCTTGTGTTGCTCGTAAAATGAAGTACCGGGTAAAGGGCACTCGCCCCAGATGACGCTTGCCGTGTCGTCTGGATACCGTGATGCGTATGCGAAGGCGATCATGCCGCCGATGTCGTGGCCGACGACGTGAATCTTTTCTTTGAGGCAAAGGTGCGAGTGCAGGAGGGTGTGCAGGTCCTCTGCCATTTGCGTTTTCTGGTAGCCCGAGGGGGGTTTGGAGGATTGGCCGGCGCCCCGGTAGTCGGGAGCGATGACGCGGTAGTTGGCGTTTGAGAGGGGGGTGATTACATGGCGGAATTGGTAGGATGTTTGGGGGAAGCCGTGGATGAGGAGGATAGTGGCGCGGGGTTTGGAGGAAGGTGCGGGTGCGCAGTCGATGTAGTTGAGGCGGATTTGCTCGCCGGATGGTGTGGTAATTGAGGCGATGTGCTGGGTCCAGCGAGAGGTGTCGATGGGTGGGGGCTGTAGTAGATTCATGGTTGACGGGTCGTAGAGGAGCTGTGGTAGTTGGCATCGAATTATGTGTCTCTGGGCTATATACTGCTGATCGGTAATCGCCTGATTTTGTGGAGTGTAGATTTCAAAGCCATGACGCTCAAACAGCGTCATAACTAATATTAGTATGCGTGATCTCGGGACAAGAAGCAATACCCGTCTGGAAACAGAACTGAATACTCTGAACAATGGCAATTCTGGGATATGGAATGATTGACTTCACTCTGCTCTTGCAATGCTGCAGTGAGGTGGAGTAGAGGGAGATGTTGGCATTATTCCCAATTTTTTTAGCCTACCTGCAATGTACCGTGGACAGAGAAGATACGACTCAGTATGCAGGCGTCCGCGTCAACAGTCTACGATTATCTCACCTTAAAGTACCCTCTATCGTATTTTGTGTATTTAGTGGTACTTGCATATCGATGCCCTAGATTATTCTTGTCAATTTATTTGCAGCAACTTTCGGAGCAGAATCCTGGTTACGGTTTGAATTTTCAAGTGAGAATTCGTAATGCAAAAATCTTTCTGGGAATCTTCCAAATGTTCTTCTGTGTTGCGACTCTACACTGTTTCCAAGCTCGACGATCCGAGTAATTCCGGTGAAATTGCGGATAGGCGAGGGTAGCCAGGGTCATCTTAGTCTCCGGCAAGTAAATCACCAGACAATTCGAGATGCTTTAGCACAACGAATCTGTGAGAATGTCCAAAGATCATAACCTCTTCGCTCATGTCAACCTGGTGCATGGTATCCGTGGTGTACATCGTCAGGAGTTTGATTGAGTTTCTCAATGCCAGTAAGAAACCCAATATACTGGAAACTCGATCCTAATCACGAGCTCCCATATTTCTCCAAGGGCAGAAAATTTATGAGGTGAGTCAACGTTACTTCAGCAATCCTCGAAATTTCTGGGAACCGCAAAAAGCCTCGGAATGTGCCTAGATGTGGCTTCGTCGATATGCTCGCCAGGCTGTGATATTGCATTCATTCCGATATAATTCGCTGCACCATGTTCGCATAACAAGGAACATTTTGTAACCAGCATCGAGTTTTGAGTGTCAGTTATTAATCAAAAAGCCTCAGTTTGGAGGCGGCCAATGGTTCCGCGGAGATGGATGGGTACTCGGGGTGTTGAGGAAGGAATCGCGAAGCAACCGATCTATTGGATCGATCGACTAATCAACATCTGACAGATGATCGGGTATGCGGCCATGTACAGTTTTCTATGGATTTGTTAGGAGATTCTCGTTAGCATGTGTAAACTCGGGGGCAATGGGTGGCGCATCCAGAGCTGGATGTAAGGGATATGTCGAGATGGCACTGGTATTCCGACAAGAGTACACGGTACTGGGTTAGCCGGCCGTGAAGGTGTCTGGGAGAAGATAATGCATTGACAAAACGCCGGTGTCGCGTTGACATTGAGCATCCAGCAAGCGAGGGCCAATGCGCGTATATGAAGAAGAGCGCATACGTCCTCTTTCTAATGTCTGGCGTTGGTCTCGTAGTAATCAGTTATGGGGGCGTGCTTGATTTCCCGATGTGATACGAGAGTTGGCTGATAAGACGCGGTGTGGCTTTCTCGGCCGGGTCCATTGTGCGGCTGTCGATGTGTCAAAAGAGCGAGACACCAAGATGCCCCTCTTCAGGCACAGTGCAGCTTGGGCGCACTAGCAATATGTTGGGTCGGGTCGGTCCGGAAATTGCATATATTCTTGCGACACGGTGATGCCTCGAGTGCTTTATGGCAGGATGGAGGAACGGGAGGATTGGCATGGGTGCCACGCGCTAGAAGCACGGCCCTGCTTTCGAGGCGTTGCGACCGCGATCTGCCTAAGGCCCCTGGCCAGATGAAACTCGGGCACCTTCAACTGTCAGTCTGGTTATGCTTATTCTCCTGTCAGAGACGCATAGTTGCCGTAGACTCTGTCGCACATTGTGCGCGTATTCACCCCAAATGTATCACATTACCGCCTTGGCGCAATCCCCCCTCACAATGTCGCAATGGTCGTTGAGCACCAACGGCTACCGTCTTGCTGACCCGATTGCATATGAGCATATAAAGACCCAGACTTAGGCATCAGGTTAGGTCAAAACCAGTCATAACTGATATCCCTCCCATTACTACAACAATGCCGTCCCACGGAGAGCGAAATATGGAGCACGGAAGCGATGCTTACGCTGCCACCTTCAACCAGGGCCATCTAGCCCTCCCACCTAGCCAGAGATACACCATTGGTGAGTTCTCGTCCATGTCCAGGCGTTGCGAGCAATTGCTAACCTAGACCGACAGTTACCTGCATGGATGCACGAATAGACCCAACAAGGGCATTCGGAATACCACTCGGAGCCGCCCATGTCATCCGCAACGCAGGCGCTTCTGTACGCGACGCCTTTCGATCCATCATCATCTCACAACAACTGCTCGGCACAAGGGAAGTGATGATTGTCAAGCATACCGGATGCGGCATGCTCACATTCGACAACCCCACTGCCAAAGCTATCATTTCCAAGAAGAGGGGAGAGGTAGCCGCAAGAGAAGTGGAGCACATGGACTTTCAGCCCTTCCACAACCTGGAGATCCAGGTCAAGAAGGATGTACAATGGCTGCGCATCAAAGCAGTAGAGGAAAACATTCGTTTCAGTGGCTGGATATACGACGTGGAGACGGGGAAGACAAAGCGGATAGTCTGATGTTGTTTCCCGATAGCTCGTGGTGAGCCAATATGATATACCCAGATGAATGTAAAATAGTCTCCTTGTTCTCTTGTAGATTCTTTTTCGCATCTGTCTCGGCGATACCGGCGTTAATTCTATTCATTTTTCCTTTCACAGACTAGCTCATTGATTAGTCCCCTGTCTAGCCTCGAACCGTGACTCTTACCATAACTAGCTCGACACCAACTACCGGAAACACACACGATATACTGTCCTAAACAAAAATTTCCTGTCATGGAACCCGAAAATGCATCACTTGAAGGCATCCCGGATGAGCTTCTCTTGGAGATTCTGCTCCACCTCAGCACCATCCGCTCCTTTGAAACGTGTTCGACAATTTATGACAAGAGAGAGAAAGAGAAGGCACGCCAACGGGAAAATCGCCTACGTCAGCTATCACTATCCAATCTTTGCCGCACTTCTCGCCATCTAAATCGTCTTGCTATTCCTGCTCTCTATGCCGCATTTACGGGGTCCTCGACATGGTTCGGCATCTGGTCTCTTAGACGCTTCCACTATGAAATAACAGCACCAAGGCACTCCCTCGGTAAAGATCACACATATGCTAGGTATCTCCGGTATGTAGAAAACCGATTCACCGACAGTAAAGGCAACGATATGGTCGCAACCCTGGACAATCCTCAAGACTTGTCCATGATAAAGGAATACTTTTCTTTACTAGCTGGCGTCGTCAATTCTGCCCCGAACTTGCAGCATATTAATGTGACTAGCACGGAGACTGGCAGAGTCTCTTTTTGGAAATACGTCATACATGAGAAGTACAAAGGGACTCCCCGCTTCACATTACTTGCCGACCACGGTCTTAGTCGGCTGAAGACCTTATGTATCCAGACTAATTTCGGAGAAGAAGATGGGGAGGCCAGAGAATCACTCTTTGACAGTATCTGTTCCGCAATGGCATCTGTGCCGTCGCTCTCTGATGTTCGAGCTACCGGGGTTATGGTGAAAAAACTCATTAAACAAAAAGTGAATTTTGGTCAGTTCAGGAATCTGCAACGCCTCGAACTGACCGAATGCCTTATGGACTTTCGGCCAATGGCAATGATTCTATTAGCATGCGAAGGGCTCCGACACATCGTTTGCTCATGGGAATACCTCGACTGCCTCCAACAAACAATAGCTGACTTTAGGCCGGGTTTACTGAAACACTCCCATACATTGGAAACACTTTGCTTAGATTTTCGTGAAGTCCGATACGGTACTGGGGCCAAGGAAGAACCTGGGCGCATTGGTTCGCTGGGGCAGTTCGAGCATTTGCATACACTGACAATATCTCAAATGTACTTTTTGACTGCATTTGAGGTTGGCCACAGGGAGTATTGGCCAATGACTCCATCCAAAATCGCCGAAATAATGCCATTCAGTCTCAAGCGATTGAACTTGTTTGTCGAGGTTTTCGATATGGAGGATGAAATTCCAGCAACCTTGGATGATGAGGAGGATCTATGGAATTTATTTGAGGCCTGCAAGACATCTTTACCAAACTTGTCAGAAATCACTGTTATAGGAAACGGCGATATCTATGGAGCAGGGCGGATTATGGATACTTTTGAGCAAGCTGGAGTCCGTTTTGAAGTCATCACTGATCACTGAGTTTTGATGATTGGCAGAAAGACGGGACTTGCATCACATGTGGACAGCATCCTGCATGCAAGACTATGTAATGGCCGGTCTGGCGTCGCGTCATGTAATTGCTATGTGGTGGTATGGTTAACAGATAGCAATCACACCCGCCATAAAATGCTGTCTTCCCACCGAAAGAAAATTTTACTGCTTTTACAAGTATACCTGAGCCAATGTCTCTAATTACACGAAGCTGCTGAATATTTGCAAGTTATTCGTATCATATGCTTGATCCCAACATAAATTAACTTTACCATTGTCTTACTTCTATTGTCCACTATATACACACTCCTCTCACTTGCACAATAGGATGCAAGTCTAGTTGCGGCTTTCACCCATGTTCTTGCGCCTCTATCAGTATTCATGTTCAGTTCCGACACTTTTGTTTTCTTTCGCTTACTCGCGGTGAATGCGCCTTGTACTTATATCTTAGCTCACTTCTATTTACCTTGTACATTCTTGTATCCGAGGAGAGCCCATCACTTGCAAATCACCGCTTTATTCAAGGTCATTTGTTGTTGCCTTTACTATCTCTCATTCACCTTACCTTACGCTTGGTTACCGGTTTCTATATAAGCTTCCAAAACTCCCCCCAACAGCCTTCACACTTCCCACACTACTTATGCTTCTCATACTTATCACATTTCTTATAACAGAAGATTCTTGCCTACGTCCTCAATATGACTCCTTCCATTGTTTCCAAGACGGCTGCTTCCAACGGAACCACTGATTCCAGCGTCGATGCGTATGACGAGACCACTGCTTCCACAGCTACGGAAAGCACATCTACGGTAGGTCTCCCAGCGATGAACACACTCCAGATTTGGAGAAATCTCCTCCCCCTCCCTCCTCAGCCTTTCAAGAAGTCGAAGTGAGTAGTGATGGGAATGATATTGACGGATCTGGTATGAAGGACTTGGGCGATGTCGACGCCAGCGTTCTGGCATCACCATCCACTTCATCCAAGTCACTGACAGAGATCGAGACGACTGCGATCGATTCCAGCGAAGAACAGTGCTCTGAGAAGGCCCTCGATGGCACGGAGAACAGAGATGATGGCAAGACCAGAGACCAGAGCGATCAAGTCAAAAAGACCGCCGTAGCAAGCGCTACCGCAAAGTCCGAATCACCCAGAAAGGTACCACAGCCATCACCTGTACTAGAGCATGAGATCAAGGAAGAGGTTCCAATCACCAACGATGAAGATATCGATCATCAAATGCAACCAAGGGCCACTCATGAGACGATAGGGACGTTCAAGTCAGGCTACAGCGTACCACCGCATATGCGTCCTGACTTTCCGTCCTCATTTGCTCGGCGTGCTGAGACCATGAGTTCCAGAGTGAGTTATCATCTTCATCTTTCACTTACACTATGATTTACTGAATCCAGCAGATAATACCGTCAAACAATGTCCCTCGCTTCCACAACAACCTACGCTACAACAACACCCACCACGGCTCTCGCGGCGACAACATCCCATCCGAGCAAATGGTCCGACTCAACGCGCAGATCCTCAAAACGAGACAAGAGCTCGATCAAGAGCGCACCAAGAATGCCAACCTCCGCAAGACCATCCAAGACGCCCAGCACGAGCATCTCGAAGCTGCCTTCTCAAGCATGCTCGCCACGCTCCTCCGCGAGCAAACCGAAGCCCTTGCCCTCCAATCCCGTGCAGCCACCCACCAACGCTCCCTCGACATGCGAGAGAAGAAAATATCCCAGCAAGAAGCCTTCCTCGCCGCCGGTCAAAAGCACCTCATGACCAAGCTCGACCAGGACACTTCCACTTCCATGTCCGCCGCCCACTACGCCCACCTCCACCAGCAAATGGAACTCGACAAGCAAGCCCACATCGCAGCCCTCGAGTCCCGCATGGCTATGGAGCGCCAAACCCTCACCCTCCACGCCGCCGCCCAGCACAAACGCGAGCAACAGTACAAGACCCTCGTCCGCCAGTCCATCGAAGCCGAAATCGCCGCAAACTACATGTCCAACGCCGAAGCAGAGTCCCTAGCCGAGGTCCGTTTTCAGCGCGGTTTCGATGCCGGCAAGGACGAGGGACGCAAAGAGCGGGCTAGGGAAGAGAAGGAAAGGGCGTATCTCGAGGGCTACCGAGCTTGTTTCCAGGCACAGGCTGCACTGAGTTCTCTACGCAAGGGGGCTAGTGCTGAGGTACAGGGTCTTCTGGATCTGATGGGCGAGGAGAATTTGTTTAGTGTGGGTCTTAGGGTTGGGAGGATGGAAGCTGCTTCCAAGGTTGAGGTGAGCAGGGTGGCAAGCAAGGAAGAGGAGGAGAGCAGTGGATACGGTACAATGATTTCAACGACTCTTTCGCCGCCGCCTTCGCCGGTACCGGTGCAAAGGATGACTCTTGCAGCTGAGCTGAGAGGGTATACGCCGTTGATGCATAACGGGGAGGTTGTGCTTGCCAACTATGATCCTGCTGGCGTTGGTGTTGCTTCGCCTGAGAAACATGCAAAGAACGGTGCGAAGGAGCATCAAGGAGCCGATCTGATCGATCTCTTGTAGGAGGAAGGACGAAGGGAGAGTTGGGAAGGGGATCAAAGGATCACAAAAGCGGTATATTGGATTGGTTGAGCGGGTATTTCTAAATGCACGATAGCGGACAAATCTAAATGCATGATGATACATATTTCCAATTACATAATAAACGGGACACTACTTTGAAAGAACCAGGATGACGAGGATAGCGAGGTCAGTTCTATTATTCAAGGACTTGCATACCGTATTGTGCGTGTGCACAGGACTACCAGCAACCCTTGGTCAGATGCCATGTACGATCCAAGCCAACGAGTATAAGAGGAGGGACCTCTCATGTACAGTAGATAACCATGCAATCCTTCAAGTTCCAACTGTGCTTTCTGTACTATAATCTACCCCTCAGCCCAATGATAGCGTATACCAACGAAGATGAAGCTAAAGGTATTCGTAGTCGCTATAGTAAGACTCGTTGATGCTGCACTCCCTACACCCGTTCAATATGTACACCTGACTCTGTATTAACGTCCGTGAACAACAGGTCCATGTCCCCTCTCGCCCAGCATCGGTTTTCTCAGTATAGGACCATGAGGCCCCTGACCATACTCGTCTGCTTTCTTCTGCGCATCATCCGATAACTTCAGCCCACCGCCTTCTTTACTCCCATGCCCCTCATTCTCCTTCCCCTTCTCCTTCTTATCCCACTTCTTCGCAAAATCCTGAGCCCCACCCCCAATCGCCTTCATCTCCTCATTCTCCTTCCCATCCTCACTCGCAACATACTTCTCCACAACACTTAACAACTCTTTTTCCCCCTGCCCTTCTCTTTCCCTCCGCCAAACCTCAAACTCATCCCACCACCACTTATGCGTCTCCCCATCTTTGCCCAGATACCCCGCGCTACCATCAGGCTTATTGCGCGCAGCCCACGGTTTATCCACAATATAGTGTAGGACAGCAACATACGAGTCGTCAGTCCAGATATTCGTATGCCAATACCGCCACGTCTTAAGCGCATTCGTACGCCATGAAAGGGGGGACCAGCGCCCATCAAATGCTTCATTCAGGAAATCCTGGTCAGGAAACTTCATAGCACGAAGACGGGCATTGCCTAGCTCTTCAAATTTCTGCTTCACAAAGTCTGCAAGCTGTTTGGACGGGCGGTACAGAAAAGTGCCAGAGTTGAAGTTGCTGAGCGTGTAGGGTTCGGATTTGACTTCTGCTAACTGATCCGAGGAGGAAAGGGGCGTCATGGCGCAGTTTTCCTTGGTCCATTCTGCGGGCGCCCAGGCGTCGTGGTCGAGATTGCACACGCAGGTGTGTACGGCCATTGTCCTCATTCCATCTCCTCCAGTTAGGTACTCGTCGTTTTGCGCGTTGAAGACCAAGGGGGAAGGGTCGGAGAAGATCATCATGTCGGCGTCGAGCCAGCAGAGCCGTTCCCATTTTTGGGGCATGTCCCATAGGTCGAAGACACGGAGCTTGGTCCATGTATCGATGAAGCGCTCGGCGACCATGCCATGGGCGGTGCCATCTTCGGGGAGGCGGAGGTGCTCGACGGGTTGAAGGATTATGTTGGAATGTTTGGCTTCGGCGGCAAAGGCGGTGACTGATGATTCCGGAAGGGTGTCCGGGGTGTAACATATGATCAGTGGCGTGGATGGCGAGTGCTTGTGAAGTGTATAGGCGAGGAGAATGGCACCCGCAAGATACGAGGGCCGTGTAAGGAGAGTTACATAGGCATTTTTGGAAGGTGGACCACCGCGTCTAGATTCGCCCGCCATTTTGAAGAGCGGTAGTTTGAGTTACACCGAAAAAGCCTTGAGCGTACCTGCAATTGGATAGTAGAAAAGTGAACAGAGATCGAGGTACATATCTGTACTACTACAGTTCGCTTGTCCCACCACACATACGCGCTGACGTCACGACTCATGTTCCGAGAGCCGGAACCAACGATGCGTGTGTTCGAAACATGGTGGTACAGGCAATGCACTGGCCGGAAATGAATGGATGGGTAGATGCGTATGGGCATAGAGAAGAACGCAAACATGTGGTGTTATAGTTTCAAACTACGGGTATCTTGGAAATTTCACGTTGGCTATGACCAGGTTCTGTATCGTACACGCCCAATTAATACTGCTGTCCGTCTTCTTTGGCAAGCGCCTTGCCCCAGGCGCTCTCAAAAGGATCGTCTACCTTCTCACTATTACTATTGACCACATTGTTCTGGACAGCTGCATCATTAGCGGGAATCGCCTTTGACAGTTGCTCTTCTGCCACAGGAGGCTGGTAAGAAGTCACTGCCTCCGGGCTCTCGTACTCAAAATTGCTCGAGTACACCACGGCTGCAAATGCTTCCAAGCCACCTACAGATTCGATAGCGGCCAGATACTCGTTGTTTGCCCCGCTACCAATGCTGTGTGCTTGTCGACAGAAGACGGCAAGACTGTTGGCAACCTTGGCCTTTACGTCGCCGCCGACAATCTCTGTTACGCGAGCGTGATTGTCGGAAACGGGCGGGATCTTGTATGAGAGGTGAGAAATCTTGTCGTCAACAAGATGAGAAAAGGCAGCGTCGAGAAGTTGAGTGAGCACGTGGGTGAAGGCCGGTGAGTCAATCAAATCAGAAGTCTCGTCAATAAGGCGACGAAGAGAAGTAGCCGTGGTAGGTGAAGTGGACTCGGAGGATGAAGTCATGCCTGACTCGCGCAGAACGTAGTCCTCCTGATCTTGGGGTGGGAGGAGAAAGGTAAGCCATTTGCATGTCCTGTTGATTGTTATTTGGAGTTTTGAATGGGAAAGACGGGTAGCATACCTTCGTTCTTCCTCAGTCGCACCTTCAACCCTCTTGCGAACCTCCAAGGTAAGCTCCGACAGTTTCTCCAAGGTGATCTCTTCCCTCGGGTTGAGAAGACCAAAGACTTCCTGGACTGCAGTCCTCACTTTTTCAATCAGATCCAAGCATCCCTTATGGAGTAGCCACCAGCTCAAGCTAAGGTACCTCCGGTTTGTCTCAAAGTCGTTGCCGTAGGCCTGTTCAAAGTTGTCGTCGTCGTGGTTCTCGAGGTTGATGCGCGAGCCCTCGGCAGTAGGCTGTGGTGCAGCAAGAGAAACAACTGAGGCGAGATAATTGCGACGGCCAAGTAGGTTCAATTGGATTCGCGTAAGAAGGGTGAGGAGGCAGAGGGTGTAGAGAAGGGTAAAGGCTCGGGTTATGGCTGGTTAGATTAGCACATGCACATCATGGCCGTGTTGCGAGAGAGGCACGTACAACTAATCTTCATCTCATTCCATAGCTGTGCCTTTGTCTTCTTGGGCTTCTTGTCGGCGCTGGCCTCGGGTCCGCCCTCAGCCGGGCCGGCGGCGTCATGGTCTCCAGTAGCGATCTGGCTGGCGTGGATGAAGCTATCCGTCTGGAGGCTGGAGCTTTTGGCGTCATCATCGGCAGTGTCTGCGACGCTTGGTGGCGCTGAGCTTGCAATCTCGCTGGGGCCAACGCTCCTTGCCAATCGCTCTGCCTTTTGCTTTTGCAGCTCTTCCAAGACTTGCTCGACGGGAATGGCCTCGAGTATGTTCTCCGTCGCAGTGGGAAGGATAGCGAGGACGGTAAAAGTGCAGTCTTCCTGGTTCTGCTCAAAGCGACGGCGCAGGCTGTAGTGCGGTTAGCAGCTCGTCTCGGTGTCGCGATGTGATGGCGCACTTCTCCTTTGCGATGCGATCATCGCTCATGCGCTGTCTCGCCTCCCCGAGCTTGCCCAAGACATACTGCCCCGCCAGATAACCAGCTCCAAGCACTCCGGCACCGATGGCAAAGTTTGTGCGATTGCGCCTGAACCAGCGACGCGTGCTCTGTATCATGATGTAGGTTGACCAAGGGCGACGCCGCCCGTGTGTTTGCGGGTGGATCAGGCGTCGCGTGTGGGGAAGACCGTGTCACGATACTCTGGACCGAGGCCTACTCGGAAGGTAAACTCTCGGCCGTCTATCGGATACCTCTCGGGCTAGTGAAGCTGCAGTCACGTGCATAAGGCATGAAGTATCATCTGAACATTGGATAACTCTCCAAGAATTCGTCTCAATTTACTTTGACTGCTATGTTATACGTCAATTTACGAAACGATCCTCTAGGTCATATAGCCCCTACGTTAGTAATCAATTACTACGAACGTCTCATCTATCAAGATGATATAGCTCTAGTTCTGTAACGTCTAGTCCCGGTATTCCCGTACCTACTCAAGACAAGCACTATTTATCTCTTGTATTACCCCGAGCTTCTTTATTATCCTGATCTTCTTATATCCTACTACTCTGAATACCCTCTAAACAGTAGAGACGGAGATTTCAACTCCTTGGAGACTAAGTCCACCAGCATCACCAACACAGGTCTTCTCTCGTCCAACTCTATCGCCTCGTCCTTGTTGGTATATCTACTCCTTCACCTCCGACATCTGCTTGAAACTTCTACCAGAGCGAGAAGCATCGTGAACGTGTTGCGAGATTATCTTGAAGGGGGAGAACGTTTGGCTACTCTATGCTGCGAAGTGTTATCGGGTTGCAGAAGATAATTATAGGAGATTGTAACGAGCTATTTTGCATTGATTCGGTCCGCCAAAACATTCCACGTATCGAGTACAAACTACAACCACACCGATGGTTTTCTCGAGCATTGGTATTTCTTAGGAAAGAGTCTCACCGACATGGCTCCGTGCATGTCGAGCTACCTATGCTTACTAGGTGTTTAGTGGAAGTAAGAGCGCCTGGGTGATTGGAGAGAGTCCTCTGGCTAGACCTTTTGTAAACCAAAGCACCGAAATACTATCAAAATATGGGGTTGCCTTTCAAAAAATTTGTTTCATGCTAATCTCCGTTTTGGCGCAACTCTTCTTAGCGCTGCATCTTCCTTTACTGACATAGGCTAGCTGATAGCCTATTACTTAACTAGGTTTTTACTCCTTATAGCTCCTTATAATGATTGGTTTGCATATAACTTACTTATGGCGTTGTAATCATCTGCTATTGGAAAGGCTATATCTCGGGTCGTTAGGCTGACTAGTGTTATTCTTCGTACAGTTAACCGTATACATAACAGTGCCATCTTTGCTGGCTTCTAGGTTACCTAATTCAATTTATCTCTAATTCACAAAAATTCTTGGCATAGGTTTAGGGAATAGCCTCTGGTCTGTGCTAAGTAGACCAACTTTCACATCATTCATATAGCACGTTAGTTACTCTCGACCCTACTTATTGCCAAAACCGCGATCTTTCTAGTTGTGAACACTGAGCGTATTTTCTACTCGCATCCGTCTTGGATGCTTATGCTTAGATCTCAAGGCGTATCCCAAGAGGCTAACCTAGTGCACTAGTATGTGAGGAAGAAATATCTGTAATATAAGTATATGGACCTGCACTTCCAATCGGCAGCCATCGCCATTCCATCTCCTCACTAAACCCAACTATTCACGACCTGTGACGCCATTCCAGTCACGAAAAAACGACACGCCGTCACCTGGAACGAACATTCCCTCTTTCCTACAATGGCCAAGCTTACTTTCCTCGCCACTGTGGCCGTCCTCCTCTTAACCGCAGTAGCGCGCTAGGTAGTAGTTCTCGGCTCGTGCTGCTTTAATGTCCACGATAGCTGTCTCCGCAAAGGTGCTGTGGGCTGTGTTTTCTTCAACGGCAACCAGTACTGTGTGCAGCAAGACAGCCAAGACGAGTGCAAAGCCGCATGCCGAAAACTTCTTGGACAGAAGCCGACCGACAATAACTTCTTCCTTTACACAGTCTTCGGAGGGTAAGTTATAGAGGGGAATATTGTCACTAGTAGCGTTGTATCGGACGGCTTTAGGGCTAACGTTTTTCGTCTAGATCATTGCCTACTTGCTTTTGCACCCAGTGGGATACAAGCACAGAAACCGGCAATTGCTAGTGTTTATCTCTTTCACGATCAAAGACAGATTAGGTGTCATCACATTGTGGAAGAAGGCGACTATCAGATTAACGGGATGTACTTACTCAAGTAAAAGTATAATAGTGATAAACAAAAAGTTTCTGTGTGTTTAACCAGCTATACACGTCGTGTCTTAGGTCAAGGTTCATTGCCTGGTCGAGCCAGTAGTCCCAGCGTGCCTCGTTTGCTTTTCGTCTCTGTCTTTCCGTATCCACAACAACATGTACACATGGTCACGATGCAAAAGATCGGTTATCATTCTTTATCTACCGAAGACCTACGAAAGAAGAGCATATTCGTTATGTAGGAAAATACTGAATGAACAACTTAATTCCAAAGATTTGCATCTCTCTCAGCCCACCCATCAGCTCAATTTAATCTCAGCCACGTGCCTATCGCTGCCTATTACCCTCACAAATCAGTGTACCAGTCTAACCAGCATAAGCGTCAAGGCGTTAAGTCATGTGTCTTGTCGTAGATTCTGATGAAAAGGATCGTATCGTATGGTTCGTTTCATGATGCTGATGCCGCATTTGACGTTATTGTGTCCGTCTGCACAGTGGCAGGGGTCGGCATGGTCGTACTAACCGGCAACGATGGTTCTCGCTTGAAAGGGCCGGTCGGTGATGTCGCTCTATTTTAGTGGCGTATTAGAAAGCTGTTCGTTTTATGATACCCATGTGTATCTTAGAACGAAATGTAGACCAAAAGGTTGGCCTGAAGAAAAGAAGAAGACGAGAAAAAAAGAGAACCGAATGCTGGATGATCCACCAAGAATATCCAGCGCGATAGCATATGATGTGGCCAGTGTATCGGAGTGGAAATCATCGGGCAGCCACGAGAGGGATTACATTCCAATGAATTAGTAGTGCAAGACACTACTAACGGAGGGAGAAATTCTGCAAGCAAAGAAAAGGAGAAGACTTGAACGGTACATTGATAAGAAGAATGTATGGCCCATAACACGGCCATGAAAGGAAAGAAAAGAGGTTATGTGTGACGTGGGTTTTCGTTCAGGAGCCTTGAAATGTTCTTAGTACTACCAATGTACCCTTGGTGTCACCGTGTAGCGTTGGGCAGGGGGAATAGGTGAGGATGAAAAACTTACTTTGCTGCTGCTGCTGAGCCCCGTTTGTACACCAGGGTCTATCCTCATGTCTGTATGTTTAACGCCCGTGTAGTTGACGATACTATGACTAATCCATGATAACCGGTAGGTAAGGACATCCTAATGCCGTGGATATGGAACAAGTGGCAACTTCTCCTAGTGCAACATACGAAAAGCGTACGAGAAAACACTAGCAGAAGACTAAAGAGTTGCAAACCTTGGATGTTGCTGAAAATCCCGGCGGTCGCTCGATCCATGGCTTCATTTGAACATCCAGTTGAGACTTCCGGATGATACTATAAAACATGTCCAAATGTGGCTTTGAAAGTATGGAAATTATACCAAGTTATCAATGCATGAGAATGATGCATTTCCAAACCCATGGATTAGTTGAGAAATTGAAATTTGTTTAGCCTGGGGGATTTTCATCCGGGCGGTATCCTTGCACTGGGCTCCAAAACTCTGGGGTGTTTTTGGAGTAGAAACTGCCAGAGGTTGTGGTTCCGGGGGTCAAAGACATAGGAAAGGAGCCACTCGCTTCGGTGAAGACAACCGGGCCATGATAATCCATTTTCAGGAGTTGTGGATCAATAGTGCTCTCAAATGTAACATTTGAGTATGCACTGTAAGAATTTAAAGTGGCTGGAGCAGGTACGTACCCAGACAACTCCGACTGTGCACCCTCTTGCATATCTTGGGCCCAATGTGGACTTGGGCTCCCCGATACAGTGACAGGCGTTGCTATCGACACTGTTTGAAGAGAGGGTTTGAGCTCATATGACAGTTCTCGCAAGTGCTGAGGAGCTTGAGCTTGCGGTTTGTGCTCGTTCGTTGCATTGGCTGTTAGTGTTGCTGAGTCGGAAATTGGTTGAGTATTTCTGGAATTCTATGTGAGATATGCTCAACAATTCCTGAGGTCACTGACCTTTGTGGCGTGCTACTGGCGCCTCGAGAATCTCTGTATCTGTCTCTTTCACCACCAACGTGCCTGCACTGCATCGTATCAGCTTTGCACAGTCCAGTCTTGTTTATAAGGAATTCAGGCTTTCTACTTTTGCTTTTTGACGCTTGCAACTATCGCAAGCGCCGATCTTCCTCATCTGCTTGTAGGAGATCTTCTCTGATGCGGTCATCTTCTTCCTCCTTTGGCGCTGCACTAGGGGTCTGTTTGCAATACTGAAAACAATCTCTCGTCCAGAAGCATTGCTTGGAACGGTTGGAGGCTGTTCCAAGAATACTTTGTTTGTAGGACTTCTTCTACCATGGTATCCATCCGTGATATTCGGAGGTGACAGTTGAGCAGTTGGCGAATAGGGCGGTGATCCCGTTCTCTGGTGTTGACAATCGTGTGATGCTACTTCAGGCATCAAGTTTGTTGGACGGGTTTTAGATATCAAAGCTGCTTCACTTGCTTGCATATTCTTGAGTTCTTGTTGTAGGAAATCAATGGCAGCCATATGCTTCCTCTCTCGCAGATTCGCACCTTCCGGATACCGCCTCTTGAGACTTTCGAGCATGGCATCAGAATATACTGACTGTTTGAATATCATACCATACCATGGAGGCTTGTCGTCGCTTGTTGGATACTCTCGATCGATGAGGTCCATTACTGATGCACCGCCTAAACTCGCCGTTAGACTCAACAATGGCGGTTACCCGTGAGTACATACTCGATCACACAGGCTATTGTTCCAGACTCCTTCTGACTTTCACACTCCTTATCAGCGTTCAAGCAGTAGTCTGAGACCAACAAGTCTACGCTTTTGTATTCTCTTGTTCCTTGGTATAGGTGGTCGTAGTTGGATACATAAACTCACATGTCATACAAAAGGTTGGCCAGCAATGTCTGAAAGACAACTGGAGATTGTAAGGTAGAGTGGCGACTGAACAATGTCCGTTGTGGTCGCATAAACAAGGTGACTCCTAGGCATCCGTCAGATGTCTGGAGAAGGATTGGACGATATCACGGAGTCCCAATTTGGTCAAGCGGACCCGAGCTCGTATAGACGGCGTCCGGATCGGGGTGAACGGGTGTTCTCTTAGTGAAGACGGTGTCTAGATTCTATAGGATGCAACGTTCATACTTATAAGTGGTCCAATTAGTGTCACACAATGAGAGACCTACCCACACGCATTTGCAGTGTCAAAGTATGGGGCGCAGTATGCTGGAGGACCAACTCGCTTATAAGTTGTGGCGTTTTCCATTGGACCAAAAAGTCTCAGCCTGCTCTCACCTTGGGCACTCTGCCTTGGTATCGGGCAGCTATGCAGACTTGTGTAACCAGTCTTCGGCGCGGTATAGTATCCTAGTGGTCCTAGAAGGCCATGTTCGAGTGTCGTTGTCTCTGCATAACGGCGCATGGTGATGTGATAAGATTGCTGGCGAGACAACCACGCGTCACCAGAGTATAAGCTTCCTCGCACGACTTTAGTCCCAATGTATGCAAGTGTGACACGAGAGGATCGAGTATGAGGTTATGAACAAAAGATGGGGTCGGAAATGTCGAGTTGCGCGTTCCGTAGTTGGCAACCACCTATGGATGGACCTAATTGGCCTAGCCTCAAATGACATCACGTGTACATTACATAGCTTTTTGGGTCGTGTAGCCCAGTGGAGCCGAGCTGTCACGTTACACTAACTCCATTACTACAATCTTCTTAAGATCTCCATACTAACCTTACTACAAAAAGCAAGACCCATAAGTCTAATTAGACTAACTGCCCCCAGTTGTGGTCTTACAGTAGATAAGATAGAGCGATTTTGAGTTCGTTAGCCGCAAAGAAGTATCCAGGGCCTCTATGCATCCCGTGTCCGAATCCAGGCTGAAGTCCGCTTGTACAGGATCATTCCGCATGCGTGCTCAGCGGTATATATTGAATTTCTCAGGATTCTGGAAGAGGACTGGAGGTATCCCAGTTACTAGCCAAGTACCATGTGGCGAGGTATAAGACCGTGATAGTACAGGGATATTACACAAACGACAAAGCTCACGCTAAATTCTCCCGCCAAAACTATCTCAACGACTTCTCAACGGTGAAGAACAGTAATGTTACTGTTTGCTTTACTACATGAGAGAAATACACTCTACTTCCCTTAACCAGAGCTACCAGCCTTAGATTCGAGCTCAAGAATCTTCGTAACTGCATGTTCGGCCGCAATCATAGTGATAACCATGGTGTTTCCGCTCGGAACCTTGGGGTGGATTCCAAGATCAATCACAAACAAGTTATCTGTACCATACACTTTGCAGTTTGTATCAACGACGCTTTTTCCGCCCTTGGTACCGTCGTCAGTGCCCATGATTGTAGAGCTTGTGACATGGTATCCAGTGCTAATTCCGTTCATCTTAATGATTTCTGCGCCGTTGGTATTTGGCCCGCCAGAGTATACTAGTCTTGATCCTGGAGTACGGGTGATGGCGAGCCAGTTGTCGAGTTCAATGGCAAGGGCTTCTTTGTCTGCAGCCGTTTGCAGTAGGGCACTCTTGGTGTAAATAGCTTTCCCGGCGGCGTCCATAGCCATACTGCCTACTGTTGTGGTTCCTAATGTAACCTGATAGATGACAGAGATCTGATTGTTCGCTCTTGAGAAGCAATGCGTTTGAATCATGATTTTGTGGCCATCGCTGGTTGTCACGGTCCTGAATGTGTTGAGACGGAATGGTGCTTCTGCGAGCACGCCTGAGCCTTTCGCGAACAGATCGATGTTCTCTTGACTAGGATTTTTTATTTCGCTGTTAGTCAATCCTTTCATATTCCCACCAGTTACGTTGAATGTCGCAAAAAGAGCCGCATGATCCTGAATTCGCACGCCCACAGGGCTTATAATCCAGACACTCTCATCGGGAAGTGTGACATTGGCTGCCTTTGCAACGTTGATTTGAGCGATAGGGCCAATACCTGAATTGAAGAGAAGGCGAGGTGTGGACATAGCGCCTGCAGCAAAAATGACTTTACCGCCCTTCTTAATGTTAATGATCCTTCGCTGATTGCTCTTGTCGATAACTTCGACGCCAGTGACTGTCGAATTCTTGCGGACCGCACGGATAACTCTTGTATGTAATTCAAGTTTGAAATTCGGCTTGCCCTGCGCCAAGGGCAAGTATGTGCGTACGGGGCCAGCACGAAGTCCATTAATAACGTTTTCTGCGCTGTGCCCGTAGATCTTCTGTTTATCGTTCGGATTCGCGATAGTATTGACCGAGTTGTAACCTGCCTGAGTAAGCTCTTTCGATAGAACATTATACACAGCGGAATCGTAATAACGGCCATCTGAGGATGGGGTAATGGTTCCTGGATTTCGCTTGTAAAGTTTCGCAGCTGAGGTTTGAATATCGTCCCATCGCCACCCTTCCGGCCAAACCGCATCAAAGTCATCACGCGATGGGTTTATGTAGTTCAAGCTATTCACGACTGTGCTGCCACCCAAAACACAGCCCGACAGGTCGGGGGTATCGTCGCAAAACGCATTAAGGCCGGGAAAATCACCGATTGAAGCTCCGAGGGCTGGGACGTCGAAAGGAGTGACAGTATTATTCCACGAAAGAGTGTAATTGCCGCCTGATGAAAAGAAAGAAGGACCACCTCGCTCAAGAAGAAGTACAGATGACCCTCGTTCTACGAATCTTTGAGCTGCGATGATTCCAGAAGCTCCTCCTCCTACAACGATGTAGTCGTACGCAGTCGTGTATCCGTAATTTCCTGAAGCCGAATTCTCAGCATTTGTTTTGACGAGGGCCAGTGCAAGACTGGCTGTTGTAAAGATATGACGAATGGCCATTTTGATGTTCGGGTAGATGAGGAAACCTTAGTGTACCACGATAACGGGCTTATCTCATGTAGTCGTGTATTTATATTGCATCACTGGTCAAGTTTTCGTCCGTCCTGGAAACATATCACGGTATACGTACGGCATAGTACTCTATCCGGTTGTTCGCACCTTTTCGGGTAGTAGAGCCGGTCCGCGTCCTTTCGTCAATATAGTAGTGTATATTAGCTATAGCGGAGGAAGAACCAATTCTGTATGCTTTAGCGAGACTTAACCCACTCTATAAGAGCATACTACATATTAAAATACAATTAGAAGAAGACGGGGGTTAATGCCGGGTTGTGAGCCGTCCGTCAAAACTCTTATAGCAGGTGTAGCGAAGGTCCCGCTATTTTAAGCTACCCTGGTTAGGCCTTGCCAGCTTAAGAAGAATGTTAAAACTTGCAGAGAAATCGAAGAGAATAAGCTACGAGAACTTGAATCTGAGAATATGATTTACAAGTATCAAAGCTCATATTCTTTCTTCTCCTAGTAAGCTAACACGTTTCGCATAGCTTGCGTTTGACTACGGTACTTTTCGGCTGTAAATGGCTGGGGTTCGGATACTTATTCATATCCTAATTAGTTAGCACTTTACGAAGAGCTGACAGGTGTTATGGGGTAGGTTATACCTACCTTATTTAGGCTAGAAGAAAGACAGGGAATGGCACGGATACTATAAGTAGACTATATACCGTAGACCTTCTTTATAGCTAACGTGGTTCACAAGCGAGTCGGCCACCCAAGCGAGTCGGCCACTTTNCACTAGCGCGTCAACTTCAAGTTATTACAACAGACTTTTATCATAGTTAATAAACTATTACGATATACTAAATTAATTATCAGAATCGCCGCTATCACTTGCACTATCTATCTCAACCGCGCAGGTACGAACGTTATGTCCAGTCTGGTTGCAACGCCCGCATCGCCTCTCTCC